GTGCGTTCTAAGATAGGTCTTGTGTTGAAGTAGATGACTAAACGTTGACATTTCCTGAACTATTGAAATCAACGATTAAATATCATTTCAATGTCTGGCATATAATTTAAACCGTTGGAATATGTTTCTTCGAATTGTGTAAGACTAATGTTAAAAGTGGAAACTGAACTGTAATATTTCAGTTACATCCAAAATAAGCCAATTTTTCCCCGTTACTTGAGAGAGAAATGGTTTCCTATCTAAAAGCTGTTACGGTTTTGAATAAAATTATTGGAGGGTGGTGAAGAGGAAGCAGACAGAAGACAGCCGAGGAAATGGGATATTGATGCCCGATGGACCATCAATTAGAGAAATGTTAATGAAATTAGTAACAGCGGCCGCAGGCTGGAGCTCTGTTTTTGCCGGCCCGACAATGGCCGACAGGACCACGGTCCCTCCTTTCTAATGTAATTATCGCCTTTTCATCAGCTCTGGAACCAATCTATCTATTAATTGGGAGTTGGGGGAATAATAGCTTCTTTTCAACCAGCTAATGCTCGGCTTATTAGGACAGCGGTATCAAAAGTCTGTCGTTTTCCACCGCGGGAGACGGTTCATGAGTTCGGTAGAGCCCCCATAGTGGCCGAGCGTGTCAAAGCGTTCTCGAACCTAGCGGTGCCGATTCGAATCTTGCCAGGGTGAGCTAAATTTATTTCATAGCGGCCCTATGGAAAGAACGTCGAACTTCCTACGCAGATCAAATTACGTTTGGTTGTAAAAGACGACCTCCCTCAATGTATGCTGGTAATGTCTTGGGAGGGAGTAATCGAAAAAAAAAATTATAAAATGGAGAGACCGTGGTGGTCAAGTATTGCCCGTGGTGGTTAAGTATTGCCCGCTAAAGCGTTAAAACATTCTCTAGCACAGCTAGCGGCGCCGCACAGTGGGACGAGTAAGAGAAAACTAATCATCGGCTATAAAAATCGGCTAAATATATTATTTTTATTATTTGAACTATTCAATAAAAACAGTGACAAATTTATATTCTGCCGACTGAAAATATTTTAGGGAACTCCACAGGTATCAATAAAACAGTTTATCTAGTTTTGGGAGTTCCAAAAGAAAATACCCGATGTCGCGAGATTTTCCTCACTCTGGTTCGAATCTGGCTTGGTCGAGTAAAAATTTATTTCGTGGCGGGCCTACAGAAAAAATCTCGACCTTCACACCCTGGCTAGAATAGGTTTGAACATCTTTCTAAAAAACGCCTCCGTATTACAGAAATGGCGGTGGAAAAAGTGTATAAATTGAAAATTTAACCAGAAGACAAAAAAAAACTAGCAGTTTAGAATTTCATTAGGCGATAATGCAAAACGAATGGTTTCCACCAAATAGTGATAATAGTAAATGAATTTTCATAACTGAAATATCACGTTACGCCAAAATGTTAAAACATAATTCTGACTGCAATGGACTCGGATAAAGAAATATCTTTATAAGATAAATAAAAATGTTAGTACGATTAATTACAATGATTATAGAGATGCGTAATTAGTCGACTGATCAATTATTACGATGAAATAAAATTATCAGGATTTATAGTCATGAATTATCATTAGGTTAGCCTGGAATTTTTATTAGGCTAACCTAATAAAGATCCTTGACTGTAAATCCTGATAATTTTGTTTCATTACAATGATTATAACTGTGTAAAAAAAAACAACAGAATATAGATTCACAGAATAATTATAAACTGCTACCATTGTCATTTAAATTTACATATCATTTATATTTAACATATTTTTACCAATAAGTTGTTTTGTAGGTGATATGATACAGTTTAGAATACGGTAAGTGATTCGCACTGCCACCAACAAATATCACTATTACACCGTTAAGCGGATGATTCTCGTTTTGCAGACAAACTAAGCATCCTTAGATTTAAAACTACCTTATGATTAATTGAGTGAAAGATTTCATAATATACTAACTTAGGATAAGCTATAAATTTAAAAACTGCTGTTAAAAAAATATAATTAACTGATTTTGGACAATTGAACACCTATAATTATAATTTTGTTGAAAGAAATTATAATTATAAATTATAAACAATTGTAACTAAATAAACAAATCATCCTTGTACTTGAATCAATAATTTGTCTTTTTCCTTATACTTGGTCTAGCTCTATTGTCCAATTTTTCACATATAAGATAGTATACTCTTAATTAACATCTTATTTATAAAATTAAATTCACTAAATGCTATACTAATTTAGTATTTTTTAAAAATGAATATGAGTAAAAAGAAGCGACACAAAGAGACTTTTTCTCAACTTTTCTTGAAGGATTTATATTATACGGTTGTGAGGCGGCATAATGTATTTTAAAACTGATGTTTGTAAGGTACATTCCTTATTCAGGTAAATATTTGTGGACTGCATATTTACTTAGGATATTTGTTTATTTATATGATACGGATACAAAGATTATAAAGATAATATTCAATTTATATTTGAATTATATTATAAAATTTACATGGCCATAAAGATACCGATATTTTATACACAGAGTATAGATTTATTAGTGAACTGTTAAAACATTTTATCCACAGTTGGCGACTCTAGATTCTTTGTTATAATTTGTTTTTGTATATTTAGCGCTCTGAATAAAATCTATTTAAGATTCTTCTATTACAACTTAAACTCTCTTATGCACTAAAGTATTAATTAAAGAAATTATCCATTGCATTTCATTTTTTTTTTAAATAATGTGTACAAATAAGTAATAGTTTATGTAAGGCAAATATTTATCTTTTAACTTTTTAAAAAAAGCTTATTTACATAAATGGAGTATCTCTGAAGAATATTTGTAATAATATTTTTTTAAAAATAGTATACAATTAAGTAGGTCCGACTTAATTAATAATATATTCTAAATGGATGTCGCTTTTAAAATAGAATAAAAAAGGAAGTATTATTATATATTTATATAAAATAAGGATGTGTTTTGTATAAAACAAATAAGCACATATGTAGATGAAGTACTATTTTATTTCAGAAAACGAAAAATATCGATCAATGATACCATAGAAAATTCTTTAGAATCTAAACGGCATCCTAGAATTCATTGAAATATTATATATTATATATATATTATTATTATATATTATATTAGTTTGTATTGTCGAACAAATCTTGTGAGACAGCACGTTTATCAAACAAATAAAATCAATTATCATACTAATTAACGATAAAGAGTTGTAGACAGATTAAACAAATACATAAAATATTCAATACTTTATCAAGCAAACCCCCACTTTAATTATATTAAAATTGCGAAGGAAGAATGTGTATTCCTTATTTTATTTATAAATTTTATAAGAAGAGTATAAATTATAATGTAATTATTGAATTAACGAATTCAGTAATATAATATTATTACAGATTTGAAATAATCTTGTACTATGTTACAAACAAATTCAAATTATGAACATCAAAATTTTTAATTTCTTTGGCAATGTATTATTTTTTTTCTTTTTACCATAAAAAGATTGTTATTCTGAAACAGATGAAATGAAGGCTGATTTAAGAACCAAAATTGTTTAATAATACATACGGACTGACTATTTGCAAGCATGTTAATACATGAAGCAACTTAGTTATATAAAATATAACAGGATACATACTTTAAATAATATTTATTTATTTACAAATAAATGTGAGTTCATATATTATATATTGGTCATTGATATTGAAGATCATTCATACTTTTACTTTCATGGAAATAAAAATGTGGGTATACTATTATTACTATTCAACTAATAATTATAGTAGTGATATATTTAGTGGAATTTAATAAATACATATTAATATGTTAATTTAATTTTTTTTAAATGTTCATAACATAAAACTTATAATTATTAATAGATGGTATATTAAATAAAACCATATAGCTTTTCATTGTTGATTAAATGTAATTAATTAATTAATTACAGTTAATTAATTGTGTAATTAATTAATTAAACTAATTCCATAGTTTATAGATAATGACAAGACAACTGAAATATTTTGAAATAATATCTTTCATAAACAATTACATAATGAGATAAATAAGGTTATATGATAAAACATAAAATAAATTGTCTTATGCTTTATACATATTTAGCACTGAAAATAACTACATATAGTGGACTAAGTACAATTAATATTAATTAACGGCACAGAGAAAATCTTCCATTTATAATTGAGAGTTTAATAACAACAATATTAATTATTAATAAAACCTGGTGTAGTATTTTGTAAAACTTTTAATATTTGGACAGCAATATTAGATATGTTTATACAATCTTCTTGTCTGATAAATAAATGACCACATGATTAAAACATTAAGAAACAATTTAACAGGGTTGGTTTTATCATTGAACATGGACTAAGTTTTCTGTCAATGAAATTAAGGAATGTTTATGCATTAAATTACACGCCCAAATTTTAGGTTATTATTGCGATTCAGGCATCGACAGGAATGAATTTTTACTGAAATTATACTATAGTAACCTAACTTGGTAGATAAGCAAATAATGCATCTACATTACATTTACCTATATTTCGTTCTGGTGTTTATTGTCATTTCCACAATAGGTTTTGCTGATTTCTCTGAATTATTGCTCCGTTCACTGGTCAGTTATCAATCGCTAATTCAATAATAATAGAAATTTGTTTGGAATAACGACAGTAAACGAAACAATTTTAGTGAGCTTTGGGGGACAACAGGGAAGTGTTTTTGATAAACTATTTACAAAAATAAACACTTATTTATCTATATAATTTGTTGTTTTTTGTTTACTGGCCACCCCGACCATTCTTCTCTTCAATTATTCTCTACAGTCAACCATCAATCCACAATTCTTTACAAATATGTTTTGCTCCACTCAAAGAGATTCGTCCGTTGTCATGTGTCAACAAATCGACCTAATGTAAGCTACATATTACATACTATGATTTTAGCAAGAACTCGGGACTGACCTGTATGCGTCCTCTTGTGTATCTTGAGGTTCTCCGACCTGGCGAAGACTTTGCCGCAGCCGGGGAAGGGACAGGGGAAGGGCTTCTCGCCGGTGTGTACCCTGATGTGATTGACCAGCTTGTACTTGGCCTTGAAGGGCCTCCCGGACCTGGGACAGCCTTGCCAGAAGCAGGTGTGAGAGGTGCACTCCGGCCCTCCGACGTGGTCCACCGTCAGGTGAGTGACGATCTCGTGCATGGAGCCGTACATCTTGCCGCAGCCCTTCCCGCCTTCCGACCACAGGCACTGGAGCCCGCCCCCGGGCCGCGAGTAGCGGAAGAACGCCCCCGGCTGGGGGTATTCTTGGTATTCCGGCCGGTAGCCGTAGTCGTATTGGCCGTACTCTTCCCTCTTGACTAGGTAGCCGTGGTGGTGGTGGTGGTGATGGTAGCCGTAGTCCTGGTGGATATGCTCTCCGAAAGCGTTCAACATCGTCACCTCATCCCGTACATCCCTCGTGCAATGCTCGTTGCCGACTGGCACCCCGGACCGCCCTTCTTGCCCTTCCCCCTCGTGACCACGCCCATCTCCATCCCCATTGGTCGACCTCCAGCATGTGCCCAATCCCTTGCGGACCCCTCTCCCCACTCCTTGTTTCACATTAATTACAGGGGATTTAATGTTTAATAGCCTGTGATATAAGTACACGTTACGGCTTGCTCCACATGGGCTCTTCACATTTTATTTACAACACCCTACAAGTTTCTATTCATTACTACCCTCTAATCGCTGCTTCTTTACTTTTTAGCGATTCATCTTTCTGCATATAAATACATAAATATGTTTTATATTTACGTATTTACACGTATATATTTCTTAATAACTTGTTAAGTACATCAATATTTTTAGTTAATATTTTATTTTAATCAAATTCTTCTCGTACCCAATCCTTACAATATAAAATCCTTCGTAAAATCCCCAATAATTCTTAATTTGTCACAAATAAAATAATCAATAAAGACGTTAATGTTCCATATGTATCCGATTTGGCCCAATCCAGACACCTATCCTTCCATAATAAACTTCATGACCATCCGAATCCATTCGTTTTTAACCTTGTTTCGATTCCTGGTAACACTCCGAGGCGTCTGAAAAGAAGATGGGTAGTTTCTCAACAAGCGTTTTCATGTGATTATATTTCTGTGTACCCATTTACTGGATGTAATTATATTGTAAAACATATAATATCTTCAATAAATAGTTTAAAAAAAATATATCTGACTGAATTACAAGGTTTTTAACGAAATTGGTACATCAAAATACTAAACATTCAAAAATTCAATTCAAAATGAGTTCACTTTCTTCAAAATTCCACAGATAAATATATTCACAGACAGAGTAAGCTGTCTTAACTTCGTAGCTAGAGTGACCAACATCCCAAGAAGAAACTATAATTTTTTATATTTGGTTACAATATGTACACCATTTTAACTTTTTCATTCTTAATTCTCTTTAGCTAGCCTAAAATAAACAGTTTGTATTTCATTTAAATTACCTATCTAAAATATCTAATTAAACAGTCAATGTCAAAAAACAATAAATATGAAATGTAGCATTTGAATTTGACATAAAATATGTTCATAAAAATTACATAAAATCATGCATACCTAACACATAATTAAAAAAAAAACATATACTAATTATTGCTACTCTAATTGCTGCCTATTCTCCCCCAAAGACAAAATATCAATAAATATCTAAACTTGTTCGCCTAACACGTATGAAATATTTTTAATGGTATATGATTATCATACTTTGATGTTAGGTAATGCACTGAATTTTATACTAAATTTACCATATTAGAGTATGGTTATATACATGCTTTTATAACTCGTAGTTGTAGGTAAGACAAAGAAATTGAGAGCAACCCAGGAGGTTAACTACCCATTATTTCTAGATTTTCCCTGTGATTTTACTTTATTTAGTGACAAATGAAACACATAAAAAATGTTTAAAATGCCTGATCCACTTTTTTTTCGAATATCTACAATATACGGTTTTTAATTAAAAACCTTCTGGGTGTGTAGCTAAAATACTGACGAAGAGCCAATCACCTTAATTAAAAGTGTACAGTTCAGAACCGATTTATTTTGCTCATACAAGGAAATCTCTCTCCTCTCTCGCAATATATCAAAGCATGCGATGTTGTGTATTGAAAAAATAAAAAAGCATTCGATTTGGAGCCGACAGCACAGAAGATACGAACAATGAGGTAAGTATGTAAACAGTGTATGTTCCCAAAAAAAAAGTTTTAACATGTTAACAAACTATTTTTATATATTATCTATATATTGCGGAATTTCCCATTACCGGATATTTTTGGGGATAGAAATTTTGTATGTTTAAACCTATGAGAACTGAGAATATATGGTAAAAATGTTTTGTAAAATATGTGTATATAATTCTGTCATTTATATTCTTATGCGATTTTAATTATATATTTTTTAAAAGATAAAATTTAATTAATTAATATGATAATAATTTTTTCCTACAAGAACTTTTCTTACGGATCGCTGATAAACTTAGACCGATAGCAATAATTCCTATGATGAGAAAAGGTTTAGAAACAAATTTGAATTGCTATCAATTTGGTTTTACGCCAAGAAAAAGTTCTATAGATGTCTGCTACAACTGCCCCACACCGCCTTTCAACCGAAATCAAATGTGTTGCTGTTAAAACTGGACATGTCAGCTTGATTCGATGGTGCCTAGTAGCCAATTATTCTTGAAATTATTATTAATTAAAGTGAAGCGTATAATCAATATATTTAATAAAGAAGAAGAATTGGCAACTTACTATTATTCTTTTACTAAATTCTTGTTGAGAAACCGTAAGGCTCCGATATTTCACCTACCTTAAGTGTATCGTCCTGAAGTATGCGATATCATGATAAACATTATTTGTTACTTAGAATAGCCTAATAATATTAATAAATATTTTTATTGAAAAAAAATACATTTTGCCTCAATTAAGGGCATTGACTATTTGGGATGCACGAAACACAATCATACTATGCACACAATGAAAGAAAAACAAAATTATAACAAAAGAAAAGAAAAGAAAACTTGGAATAACAGAATAAATCAAACATGAGACATTATAAAAAAAAAAATTAAAAATACTAATAATATATTGGTGACATTTCAGACATTAGCAATCCGTAAATTATTTTCAGGAATTGGTCGGATTCTAGAAAAGTGAGCAAAGGAAAACAAATTATACTTCAATGCAGAGAAATCTATTTATCTCATCTTAACAAAAAAACGTCAAAAATCGAATAGGCAAAAAAACGTAAATATGAATATGGAAACGCGTAAATAATAACATGAACTAGGTTCTCAATTCTGGCAAAAAAAAATTGTATGTTTTTTTTCTATTTATTCATGAGATTTACAATAGTATAAATTTAAAAATACATCCAGTAAATGTGCACACGGTAATAATACAATCACATGAAAACCCTTGTTGAGAAACTACACATAGGAAGTTGGTCATGGAAGGATATGTATCTAGATTGGGCTAAATCGGAAACATGTGGTACGTTAAGGTCGTTATGAATGATTTTGGATTGAAAGGACTGGATACGAGAGGAATTCGATGGTTTAGTGGAGCCCCAAAGCTCAATTCTGTAAGTCCAGATTGGCCGTATTATAGTCATGTATATGAGGATTCCAAGTGAGTCGTTTGATAAAAAAATAAATTTAAAAACTATATCGACAGTACAATAGAAAACAAAATAAAAATAACCAATGGATATAGCTAATAAAAATAAACAAAAATTCGGGGCTAGGATTTCAGATTTCATAAATCATCTATGAAGGCGCTATATCAACATAGCTTCGATACGAAATACCACCATGGGTATTAGTTACTATAATCAATCTCATTAAATTGAAAACAAAGATTAATAAGCATGATGATTAGCAAGGAATTCTTAGGAGTCTGCTTGCATTGTAGAGATGGAGTGTATCAGTAAAACAAAAAAACCCAACAATGCCAACCACTTTCAAAACAACTAAGCATGGAACAAGTAGAAATAAATATTAACATATCATATCGGCTCTATTCCTCAATTTATTCAATATTTAAAACAATAAGTGAAGACCATATATGTGTTTGTCTTAAATGATGTCTCAGTTCTTAATAGCCAAACTCTGAAGGATGACTTAAGACAAAATTTCCAACTCAAATGTTCATTTGATGCATGGGCCAATTACGAACGGAAAATGAATTAAGACCAATTGTATGTTTTTCCTAAAGTGATCTAATAACGCAAATCTGCCATTATGCCAAATTATTTCACGAATCGTTGGTTCAGTGGTCATATTAGACATCCTGAAATTACTGTTTGTTTTTTTTTGCTTTTTTTTAAATTACATTATGATAGTGCACTTAGAATTTAATTATCTTCAACAGTTTTAAGCAATGCTTATTCAATAAAAACCGTTACCACCATAAAAAAAATAGGTCTTAATTCATTTTCCGTTCGGAATCGGTCCATGCATCAAATGAACTTTTTTGTTTGAAATTTTGTCTAGAATCATCTTCTAGAGTCTGCCATCCAGACAATCTGTATGTATAAACGGTGACGAAAGATTTGGAAAATACTGGCGCATCCTTCTTAACGTTAGTTGAAGTGCATGACGAAAAGTTTAAAATAACTGCTTAAACAAATAAAACCACCAAAAAATAGGCCGATTTATTACTGTGAAGGAATTGAGTGAAATATTATAAACTTTTTTTTTAAGGAAATAAAACATAAAACAGCACGCTCACAGAGTACAGCGGGATCGTTGAAAGTAATGGATAACTGGGGCAAATATTTATCTCGAACTGTCTTCGTGTAACACGTACTTGCTCTTATGGCAAAATACATTTATACCACGTTAAAAATGTATTTTAACTGGCATCATAAATACTTGGAATAGATAATGACTATAACCATAAGGACGACCGCTTCATATATTTGTTTCAGAAGTACGCACTACCAACTGAACACGGCCAAAGCCACTGCTACGGATAAATTCCTCAAACCTCTCATAATATCCTTTACTTTGCTCTGAAATATTCTTGCATATGGTGATAACGGGCCGTTCCAGGGAAAGGATATTTTCAAGAAATACGTTAAGGTGATGAAGAAATTTATTCTAGAAGTTGATCTTCAAATTATCTAAGACCAAAGAACTATTACGTTGAATATTTTGTTTTATTAGTTTCTTTTTTAATTATTTTATATGTTTTTGTATTATTTCATGTGTTAATTAGAAAAAATTTTAATTTCAGTATTATTTAATATTTATTTTTCATTGCTTGATTTATTTTTGTAACTATCGCAATGTAATTTGCAACATAAATAAAGACTACTTCCATGGGTCGATATATGTATTATGCTTTGTGAATTGAGCTCATACAAATTAGCTAGTACAAGACCCTCGTACAAGGTTTGAAATATTTAAATAT